CCCACAGGGTTTCCTAGGCTGTCATCTATTGTGTCACTATATACTCATATATACTCTTATAGATCATACACTCACAGCACCCCCTGGTGTAACAGAGGAGAACTGCCCCACAGGGTTTCCTAGGCTGTCATCTATTGTGTCACTATACACTCATATATACTCTGATATCGCATCCACTCACAGTGCCCCCTGGTGTAACAGAGTAGAACTGCCCCAGAGGGTTTCCTAGGCTGTCATCTATTGTGTCACTATATATTCTTATATAGGGTTCTGGTTTGATACTATAGGATAATTCACTATACTGCAAGGTTGGTTTGAACAGCAAGGTCAGTGGTTCAAACTTACTATTTGTTCTTTGGAAACTCCTATACAGGGTTGTTATGAGTCAGAACCAACTTGATGTCAGTTAACAACAACATATTCTAATAGATCATAGACTCCCAGTGCCCCCATGCGACAGAGCAAAACAAGCCGTGTGACAAACTAGGGCTTCCTGGACTGTGGTCTGTATGGGAGCAGGTCACTAGTCTTTGTCCTGTGCAGCCGCTAGGTGGGTTCAAATCACTGACCTCTGAGTCTGCGTACGTGAGCATTTGGCCTCTGAGAGATGTAGGGATCATTTCATGGTCCTGGCCCCCTGGTTTTAGTGCACAGGTCCACGTTGGGGTGACCTTTCCCTGTTGCAGGGGATCACAGCCATCAGGTGCTACTCGGGACCGGAAAATGCCTTCCCTGCCGCTGGCAAGAAGGGGGAGGACTACACGCTGCCCAGGCCGAGCTTCGACATCTACATGGAGGAGCCCGAACCCGGGGATGCAGACAGCTGTGCAGGGCGGGATGAGATGGCTTTCGGAGAGGTGTACCCAGTGGACTCGGGTGTCCACAAGTCAGACCTCCACTTCCTGCTGGACTTCAGCACAGGTACCTGGCTCACTGACCACTGGGAGGCCCTGAGTTCGTGGCTAGTGGCAGCACCCAGTAGCACGACTTGCAGCATATGGAGGTTGGATTGTGAGAGCAATGGCGGCTTGTGGGGACAGTGGGTGCTCACTGTTGTAGAGGACATCCGTGACTGTGGGGGACGAGGGGACAGTGGGTGCTCGGTGTTGTAGAGGACGCCCCTGACTGTGGGGGACAGTGACGGGACAGTGTCTTAGAGGATCGTCTTTGCTGCATTGAACCTCTACAGTCTCCCCGATGTTGGTCGACTCCTCTCTCCACCACCAGTCTGAAGATCCATCAGATTTGGGTTCAGATGTGATTGATGAGACTGAGTATGCTGAAGAAATTCATCACTACCTCAGAGAGGCTGAAGTGAGTTTTCCTAATTTGACTTCAACTCCTAGCCCCTCCTCAAGTCAATGTCACTGTTGATGTTGGAGGTCATTAAGTCTATTCTGTACTCCAATGGTGACTACTCTGTTGTTGATGTATGTCATGTAGTGACAGAGGAAAACTGCCCCATCAGGTTCCTAGGCTGTCATCTTCCTCTTATAGATCATCCACTCACAGCGCCCCCTGGTGTAACAGAGGAGAACTGCCCCACAGGGTTTCCTAGGCTGTCATCTATTGTGTCACTATATACTC